ATAATCCAGGGGTTAAAGCCATCTCTGGGGCCCTCCCACTCCCCTTCATGCTGTGTGTGTCTTCACGGTGCCTTCTTGCTCACCAGGACCCTCAGGAGCTATGCGTGTGTTCTCTTCTGGGGTCTTTCCTTCATGCTTTTGGCTTGTTGGACGTCTAAGTCCTGAGTCCTGTTGCATTTCTTTTCAGTGATCTGACCTTTTCAAAGAACTCACATAAACTCAGTCAAGTGTTTAGAAGCTTATAGGCCATCACTTCTCCTAAAAGTACTTATCTTTCCTGAGAGTTGCCACTTAACCCAAATTGATGAATTTTTTACTGGCAGAAGTTCAGGCAGAAGCCCAAAGACCCCTCAGGTGTCTGTCCAGTTATATCCTCTATGGCTAGACTTAAGGGAAAGGATCTTTCCTCTCAGATTCTCAGGCTAGAGCCAGGCTCAGCCTCCCCTTCCAAGAGAGAAAGAGCAAAAAGGGAGGCCAGCCTCTTTGTCTCATCTCGTTACCGCTGTCTTTTTAGGTAACTAGGAGTAAGAGACTATCCAAGTTTTTAATCTGAGAAACATGGGCTTAATTTACAATGTCAAATGGTCATGAATTAAATAAATATCAATTACTACCTACTCTCTATAAGTAGATTTAACTGAGATTGTGTGACTCAATGTAGGTTTTCATTTACTTGTCTCAGTGAATCAGACATTCAAAGTTTCTGAGTATGTACTGTCTTAGATATTCCAACTTAATCAGTCTTTGTGTGGCCAAAAGTGAAAGAATTTATAGACAGCATTGATGAAAGGAAGTTCATGTTCTCTTGGCCACCTGTACTTGGAAACTGGAGAATAACAGGTGCTCATCGTACATGTCATTCTTTATAATGCACCTTGCCCCGCTTTCCAAAATCTTTACTGTGACATGATACAACTTATTGGGTCATGATTAACATAGAAAAAAATAGGATGAACAGAATAAAATAGTGAACTAGTGCTTTGGCTATAATTTTAATAAGTATCATTTTATGTAATTTAGTTTCTTTTTCTTAATTAAAAAAATCTTTTTATTGATTTCAGAGAGGAAGGGAGAAGGAGAAAAATATAGAAACATCAATGATGAGAGAGAATCATTGATTGGATGCCTCCTGCACACCCTCGACTGGAGATGGAGCCCTCAACCCGGGCATGTTCCCTGACTGGGAGTCAATCCATGACCTCCTGGTTCATAGGTCGATGCTCAACCACTGAACCACACTGGCCAGGCAGGCAATTTAGTTTCAACTGTATATAAATGTGATGGTGTGATGGCGTGATGGTGTGATGGTGTGTGTGTGTGGGTTAGTATGTACTGGGTTGTGATGCCAAATATTTCTTACTATTAAACAAAGTTTAAAGGCTTGCTTCAGCACATCAGCTCATTTAGAAAACAGGATTGCTCCTCTTTTTGGGTGCCTGCCTCTTGCCTTAGTGTTTTTGAATGGAGTCTCTTAACAATCTTGGAAGTGCTCCAGTGCCATGGAGTCATAGACTAAACATTATGTACTAGAGCAGCGGTTCTCAACCTGTGGGTCGCGACCCCTTTGGGGGTCGAACGACCGTTTCACAGGGGTCGCCTAAGACCATCAGAAAACACATATATAATTACATATTGTTTTTGTGATTAATCACTATGCTTTAATTATGTTCAATTTGTAACAATGAAATTGGGGGTCACCACAACATGAGGAACTGTATTAAAGGGTCGCGGCGTTAGGAAGGTTGAGAACCACTGTACTAGAGAGTAGGCTGCAGGGCCATCCTTTTGCAAAATTACTTAATTCTCTCTTATTATGTGAACATCAACCCTCAAATCCCAACACCCCCCCAGCCTACTAAGAACAATGCTTTAGAGAAGGAAAAAGAAAGTCCCCACCATGTAAATGTATCTATGGTCACTAACTAAATTAAACACGTGGAATAAATATACGGCCTCTAATTTTAACTTTCCCGAATCATGGACAATCTCATGCTGCCCTTTCTCAAAGTACCATGCAGTTCCTTTCCCAGAAAGCGCCAATATACAAATGAACATCGTAGATGATGCACTCTTTTTTGCAATAAAAGGGATGTGGTCAGCTTTATGCTCAAATCCATTTGCAGATTCTGCTATAGATTATCTTTTGGGGAAAGGAGATTAGGGAAGCATTTGCATTCTAAATGCAAAAAAAAAATACATTTTACTTGGTAGAACTCAAGCATCTTAGTGTAAAGTAAATTGCTTACACTATTTAGATCAGGGGTCCTCAAACTTTTTAAACAGGGGGCCAGTTCACTGTCCCTCAGACCATTGGAGGGCCGGACTATAGTTTAAAAAAAAAACTATGAACCAATTCCTATGCACACTGCACATATCTTATTTTGAAGTAAAAAAACAAAAGGGGAACAAATACAATATTTGTATTTGCATGTGGCCCGCGGGCCGTAGTTTGAGGACCCCTGATTTAGATTTTTATGGATAACATTGTTGATATTCCAGATGAAATTACTTATAGCTAGATGCATTTGTTTAATTATTGTACATACTTAAATGTATCAAACAGTTGCCAACAGACTCAAAATCATAAATCAAGGGAAAGGATAAATTCCTGACTGATTGCCTTAGTTAGAAATACTGACACCCTAGTTTATCTTATGAATGATGGTATTCAGTAGTCTAACTCATAACCTGCACCATTGTCTAGTCTACAGTGGGGAAAAAATTTGAGCATCAACATGATTGAACAATGAGCAGAAGAAAATATGTATATTGCTATGAAAAATGGTTTAACTTTTTAACTCCAAAATATTCTGCTTTTCAGGAATCAGTTTGAGAATGACCTGTAAACTCATTAATTTGCTCAAAAGTACCGATTTAAAAATGAAAAAGAAAACATATATAGTATCAAAACTCATGTCCTAAGAATAGGTTATAATAATTTTAGTTATTCTAAGATCATGGTAGTAATACTTCATTTGAAAGCTCATTATGGTATATTTGAAAGTTTTATGAAACTGCTTTCCCCTTTCTCTATATCTTATTGAAAAATGGTCTCCAAATAATCTACGGGCTTTACATAATCCCTGAAACTTCACCATAAAATAAATCATTTTATGCTGACACTCAGCTTTTTGTGAGCTGAGAAGTGTTTAAAAATATGCAAAAAAATAAGAAAATAAAGTGTATTTTTTAGGCTTCTCTAATATAAAATGTGTGATTACTCAGATTTGGCCTAGAATGCAATTTATCTTTCCCTATTGTCTTTTGAAGAGAGGGGGAGGGGAGAGGAAGGAGAGCAGCTTGTTAAGCAAATGAACAGTGCCCCGTTTAGCACTGGAGGACCATTTTGAAACACTTGAGAAGTGTGCCAACACTGTGGTTGCCACACAAAGGCCACTGGGCTCAGCGGAGCTTGATCTTTGATATGGAAACTACTAGTCAGTTCTTCTTTTGATAAAGCAGGATTTCTAGACAGTATCCTTTGGGTCTTGCTGGTTTATGGAGTAAAACACCTCTACATTTTCAGACACTTTCCTCCTAAGAAATTTGGAACACAGGTGGCTGTTAGTGTCTTGCCTTATGCCTTCCTTGCAATACAATATACTGAGGAGGTTAATGCATTGGCCTCGCAACCCAGTGGATCATTAAAACTACCAAGGGTTAGATGGGTAGATACATGGAGGGATTCCCAAAATTGTAGATTTTTTTTTCTGCCCCCCCCCCAAAAAAAAAGAAAGAAAAAAGAAAAGAAAAAGAAAAAAAATCCCTTAAGCTTGCCTTTGAACTAGGAACGATAATTTGGGATTAGCATTCTCTTGATATTTGAACAGTGTGAACAGTGGCAGTGCTATATCCATGAGCTGTGAGCTTAGCTGTACATAATAATTTTGTAGAAAATATTTTAGCCAATTATCCTCTTAAAAATGTGATCTTTAGCAGTTTGACACTGGACTGAGTTCTAAGTACTCAGAGGCTCCCATGACCAACCCAAGGAGGAATTTGGCAAACAGAAATTTTCTACGGAAAGAATGGCCTCAGTATATCAGGAAAGGAATGTCACACTCAAAAAGGGTAAAGAGAAATAATTTAATCAAGTGTGAGGTCAGGGTTAAAGTAGGTAAAAGAGATGGTAAAGCAAATATTACCACTAGACCTGAAGGTGAAAGCAAGAAAGCAGCTATTGGGTAGAGCAACCCTATAGGAGGATTTTCTTGTTGAAGTAAAAAGCTGCTGACAGCCAATACTTCATTTGAAAGCTCATTATGGTATATTTGAAAATTTTATGAAACTGCTTTCCCCTTTCTCTTTATCTTATTGAAAAATGGTCTCCAAATAATCTACAGGCTTTACATAATCATTGAAACTTCACCATAAAATAAATCATTTTATGCTGACACTCAGCTTTTTGTGAGCTGAGAAGTGTTTAAAAATATGCAAAAAAATAAGAAAATAAAGTGTATTTTTTAGGCTTCTCTAATATAAAATGTGTGATTACTCAGATTTGGCCTAGAATGCAATTTATCTTTCCCTATTGTCTTTTGAAGAGAGGGGGAGGGGAGAGGAAGGAGAGCAGCTTGTTAAGCAAATGAACAGTGCCCCGTTTAGCACTGGAGGACCATTTTGAAACACTTGAGAAGTGTGCCAACACTGTGGTTGCCACACAAAGGCCACTGGGCTCAGCGGAGCTTGATCTTTGATATGGAAACTACTAGTCAGTTCTTCTTTTGATAAAGCAGGATTTCTAGACAGTATCCTTTGGGTCTTGCTGGTTTATGGAGTAAAACACCTCTACATTTTCAGACACTTTCCTCCTAAGAAATTTGGAACACAGGTGGCTGTTAGTGTCTTGCCTTATGCCTTCCTTGCAATACAATATACTGAGGAGGTTAATGCATTGGCCTCGCAACCCAGTGGATCATTAAAACTACCAAGGGTTAGATGGGTAGATACATGGAGGGATTCCCAAAATTGTAGATTTTTTTTTCTGCCCCCCCCCCAAAAAAAAAGAAAGAAAAAAGAAAAGAAAAAGAAAAAAAATCCCTTAAGCTTGCCTTTGAACTAGGAACGATAATTTGGGATTAGCATTCTCTTGATATTTGAACAATGTGAACAGTGGCAGTGCTATATCCATGAGCTGTGAGCTTAGCTGTACATAATAATTTTGTAGAAAATATTTTAGCCAATTATCCTCTTAAAAATGTGATCTTTAGCAGTTTGACACTGGACTGAGTTCTAAGTACTCAGAGGCTCCCATGACCAACCCAAGGAGGAATTTGGCAAACAGAAATTTTCTACGGAAAGAATGGCCTCAGTATATCAGGAAAGGAATGTCACACTCAAAAAGGGTAAAGAGAAATAATTTAATCAAGTGTGAGGTCAGGGTTAAAGTAGGTAAAAGAGATGGTAAAGCGAATATTACCACTAGACCTGAAGGTGAAGGCAAGAAAGCAGCTATTGGGTAGAGCAGCCCTATAGGAGGATTTTCTTGTTGAAGAAAAAAGCTGCTGACAGCTCAAGGTCTGCCATGAAATAAAATCCCTAACTTCTTTCCTCTCAACTCACTAATCTACCAGGGCCTCCCAATAACTAAGGCCAACCAAAGCCAGAGGACAGAGACATAGTTGATGTGGCCTATGGAAGGTGGCCACCCAACACCCCAACAGAATGGAGATACTTTATGGAAAAGGCTGGAGGATCAAGACTGTCCAACACACTCAGATGTCCTAATATCCAAGTAGCTTGAGAGCTGTTTATAAGAAAATCACAGAGTAAAGGCATGTGGAGAGCACTGTCAAAGTTTCTCAGAGGGCTTTTGTGAAGACTGTGGTTTATTGATCAGCCCAACTTCTTTAAAGAAAAAGTCAGGGCACCTCCATCCTGAATACATGGGATGTCTTAATGCCTCAAAAAGCAGCCTCTTCACTCCTTCCTTCTCCCTTACCTCCTTGCTCAGTCTATGAACATTGAAGATTTATCATGGAACAGGCCAATGAATTAGTGGTCGGAGTCATATATTCAAACCCTGTGTAGATCTAAACACTTCTTCAGTGGTTCCAAGGAGACAGATGGTGTCATTTGTTTGACTAAATCCTTCTTACATCATCAGTGTGTCAGATGAGGTGCCAGGTATAGTTGGGAGCAGTGCAAATTCTTGTAAAGGTAATGCCATGAAAGGCCTTCAAATGATTAATCCAGGGCTCTCCATCCACTGCAGGAGAAACACTTACTCATCCTCTGGAGGACCATTGTCTCTGGAATTTCTTTCATCCAACAGGGTCCTGGTTTAGCCACATGCATCTTTTGGGCAAGACAAAATTGCAACATATGCAAGGTATCTTGTTTCGTTTGGACTATTATCAGAGTGATGTAAACACTATCACCAGTTCTGCAGATAGTTCCTATGAGGAACAGAGAATCTTTATTTTTTTAAGCAGCGTTATCAACATAATTTGCAAGAAAAACATTTCACACTTTAAGTGCACAATTCAATGATTTTCATAAATTTACAGTGTGTAAAACCATCTCACAACATGATTTTAGAATATTCTCATCAGCCCATAGAGACTCCTTAATTTTTAAGTTTGTAAAATAAGCACAAGTAAATGACTCCTATTTAAGGTTACAATGTAAAAATACGATTATAAACGGTCTAATGTGAACAGTTAGTATTTAATTTGTGGCTTTTTGTAGTTTGACTAATGCCTCAAATTCTTGGTTGTCATTGAGTTGGCAGACTGGGTAATGTAGTTGCTGTAAATATACTGCTAATCCATGGCAATAATAAAATTTTAACTGAATTATTTTTATGTTGCATCAGAATTTGCCACCAAGCTAAAGAATTTACATCCTTTAGTAGAAAAAAACACACACAGATATTTAAAAATTCTTCTCTCTACAAATAATTTTATTAGGCGCTCTTCCATCATCTTGAGAAGTGAGACTGTTTTCCTTTATGACTGCTGAAGAGTGATGTGGCTTGAGATCTATTAAGATCAACAACACTCAAGTCAGAAAGGACAAGACCAGTTACTGAATTGAAACAACTGCTTCCAACAATAGTCAATATATCAGCACCAAAACTGGAAATGCCAGTCCTCCCAAAAAAGACAGACCATCAATTCAAGCAACTTTCTCACTCAGCCAATTACACAGTGGAGCCCAAATTTCATAAGAAAACTACCTTACAGTTTCTACATTTGCAACTAAAATGTTCTTTTCTGTGTGTTTTAGTTTCCCACGGCTGCCCTAACAAAGTGGGCTTAAAACAACAGAAATTTATTCTCTCACAGTTCTGGAAGCTAGAAATCTAGAATCAAAGTGCCAGCAGAGGCATGTTCCCTCTTTGACAGGACAAACTCCTGCCTTGGCTCTTTCTAGTTTCTGAAGGTGACTGCCCATCCTTGGTGTATCTTAGTTTGTAGCTGCATCACTCTAATCTCTGCTTCTGTCATCACGTGGCATTCTCCCTGTAAATATGTCTGTGTTGTTTTTTTAAAAATATTTATGTATTTTTCAATTAGAGTTGAAATACAATATTATATTAGTTTCAGGTGTATAGCATATTGATTAGGCATTTTATAAAATTACAAAGTGATCACATAAGGAAGTCTAGTACCCATCTTACACCATATGTAGTTATTACATTACTAGAGGCCCAGTGCATGAAAATTCATGCACTGGGTGGGGGGAGGGGGTCCTCAGTCCGGTCTGTGCCCTCTCACAGTCCAGGAGCCCTCTGTGAGAGGCGACCAGTGGGTCAATCGGGGGACAGTGCCAGCTGGTGAACAGCCAGCCCCACACCTCCCATCGCCCCACCACCTGCACCGGTGGCCTCCATCTGTGGGAGGCGACAGGTGGGGCGATCGGGGTGATCGGGGACCAGTGTTGGCTGACGAGTGGCCGGCCCCGCCGCCCCCCAATCGCCGTCCCCTCCCTCTGCTTACTGGCACCTGCCTTGGCTGGCTTGGTGCTGTCCGCCGACTGGTCGTTCTGCCGTTCGGTTGATTTGCATATTAGGCTTTTATTATATAGGATTATTGGAATAGGCCTTCCCTTCCCCTGGCTGCCAGCACCGGTTTTCCTCCGGCACCCGGGACCCAGGCCTTCGCTCCGGCTGGAGCCGCCTTCAAGCCTTCGCTGCTCCAGCCGGAGCCTCCTTCAGACTTCGCTCTGCCGCTTCGCCTACATATGCAAATTAACCACCATCTTTGTTGGCGGTTAATTTGCATATCTCACTGATTAGCCAATGGGAGGCATAGCGAAGGTACGGTCAATTACCATGTTTGTCTATTATTAGATAAGATTATTGACTATAATGTACCTTAAATTACCATGACTGTTTTTATGACTGCCAAGTTCCACATCTTAATTCTTTTTCATTCAGCCCTCCAACACCTCTCCCATATGGCAACCATCAAAATGTTCTCTCTGTATCTAAGTGTTCGTTTCTGTTTTGTTTTTAAAATTCCACATATAAGTGAAATCATATGTCATTTGTCTTTCTGTGTCTGACCCATTTAACTTAGCATAATAGCCTTTAGGTCCATCCATGTTGTTGCAGATAGCAACATTTTATTCATTTTTATCGTTGAGTAATATTCCATTGTATATTATGTACCACCTCTTCTTTATTTATTTATTCATCATAGATGGACACTTAGGTTGCTTGGCCATTGTAAACAATGCTGCAATGACCATAGGGATGCATATGGTTTTCTTCAGATAAATACTCAGAAACTGGGTCCTTCATTGTGTCTTGCTATACCCTTTGTTTTAAAGTCTATCTTGTCTGATACAAATTTTGCTACCCTAGATTTTTTTTTTCATTTTTATTTGCATGTAATATTTTTTCCATTCCTTTATTTTCAGTCTCTGTGTGTCTTTCAATCTGAAGAGGTTCTCTTGTAGACAGCATATGTATGGATCTTTTTTTTTTTTTATAATTTCAGACACCCATGTCATTTAATCCACTTACATTTAAAGTGATTATTGAAAGATATATAGTTATTATCATCTTATTATTCATATTTTTTGTCTTTTCTTCTTCTTCTTTTTAAGGAAGTCCCTTTAACACCTCTTATACAAAAAATACTGGTTTGCATCTTATTATTCATATTTTTTGTCTTTTCTTCTTCTTTTTAAGGAAGTCCCTTTAACACTTCTTATAAAAAAAATACTGGTTTGGTGGAGATGAACTCCTTTAGTGTTTTCTTGTCTGGGAAGCTCTTTATCTGTCCTTTGATTCTAAATAATAGCCTTGCTGGGTAGAGTAATCTTGGGTGTAGGTACTTGCTTTTCATTTTTTAAAATATTTTGTGCCAGTCCCTTCTGGCCTGCAAAGTTTCTGTTGAGAAATCAGCTGACAGTCCTATGGGAGCTCCCTTGTAGGTAACTAACTGCTTTTCTCTTGCTGCTTTTAAAATTCCCTCTTTGTCTTTAACCGTTAGTGTTTGTTTTTTTCATACTCACCTAGAGAGAGTATATTAAAATGTGCATAGTTTTCCCATTCCTTTAATACAAGTTATTAAATGCATTTTAAAATAAACTAATCCTGCAATAATTGGTTTTATGTAGGATAAAATAAATTTTAAAAATACAATTTGTTTATTGTTTCAAAAAGTCACATGTTTTTTGCATGATGTTCAAAGTTGAAAGGCAAGGGCCACCTTGAAAATATTATGACATTATGTGACTCTGGTAAAACACCATTTTAAACATAGAATCTGTGAGGAATACACATTTTCTAATTGGACTTCCTGGGGTGACATTGGTTAATAAAATTATATACTTTCAGGTGTACAATTATATAGTACATCCACTGTATATTGTATTGTGTGTTCACTATCCTGAGTCAAGTCTCTTCTATCACACCGTTTATCTTCCTGTATCCTTTCAACTTCCACCTCACCCCCTTTCTCTCTGGTAATCACTATAGTGTTGTCTGTGTCAATGAGGGATTTTTTTGTGTGTGTTTTTGTTGTTGATTTTTGCTTAATCCCTTCATCTTTTTCACCCAGCTTCCCAACCCCCTTCCCCTCTGACAGCTGTCAGTCTGTTCTCTGTATCTATGAGTCTATTTCTATTTTATTTGTTTATCTGTTTTATCCATTAGATTTTACATGTAAGTGAAATTATACGGTATTTCTTTCTCTTACTGCTTATTTCATTTAGCATAATACTCTCCAGGTCCATCCATGCTGTTGTAAAAGGTAAGATTTCTTTCTCAATTATGATGTATCTTGGTGTAGCTTATTTGGGACTCTCTGAGTTTCCTGGTCTTGTAGTCTGTTTCCTTCACCAGGTTAGGGAAGTTTCCATTATTATTTCTTCCAATAGGTTTTCAAATCCTTGCTCTCTGTATTCTCCTTCTGGTACCCCTATGATGCTAACAAATGTTGATACACTTGACGTTGTCCCAGAGGACCCTTAAACTATCCTTTTTTAAAATCTCTTTTTTTTTCTGTTCTGAATGGGTATTTTCTGCTACCTTATCTTCCAAATTGCTGATTCGATCCTCTGCATCATCTAATCTATGTTTGATTCCCCCTAATGTAGTCTTCATTTCTGACTGGTTCTTTATTTTTTTTATCTCCATTTTTATATTTTCTGTATCTTTGCTAAAGTTCTCACTAAGTTCATTTACTATGCTCCTAAACTTATTTAGCATCCTTATAAAAGTTTTAAACTCTGCATCTGATAGATTGCTTGTCTCTATTTTGTTTCGTTGTTTTTCTGGAGTTGTCTCCTCATTTTGGATGCCTCCATGAGTTTGTTTCTATGTATTAAGTAGAGCTACTATGTCTCCCTGACTTGACAGGGTAGCCTTATGTAATAGGTGCTCTGTGGGGCCCAGTGGTGCAGTTCCCTTGACCTTGTTTGGGTTTGTGAACCTTGAAGAGATGTTAGGAAAATCTGAAGTATGAGCCAAGACAAGCCATTTGCATGGAAAAGCCACTTGAAGCATCTTGGGTGGGCCTGCAAGTTGGGTGTGGCAGGGTTTCAGGGATCACCAGGACTGGGTCAATAGTGTTATCCGGGTTGACAGACCCTCAGACTTGGAGACTGCTTGAGCCTAAAGGCTGGGTTGCGGGAGGGCTCAACAAAGGAGCAATGGCTTCTGCCAGCATTTCTGTCTGGGAGAAAGCTGCCCCCCCAGCCCTCACCCTGGAGCTAGACAACTTAGTTCCTTCTTGGGTGTCCCTGGCACTTTCCAGCTGCCGATCAAGTGCTGGAGTTCAGAGCAAGAGAGTCATCAGCAAGTAGGTCCATGTGTGGGCCCTTTAGGAGTAATGTCTGGGTCTCTAGCATCCCTTCATCTCACTCAGCTCAGATCCCATCAGCCATAATCCCCACTGGTTTTTACAGCCAGAATTATGAGGACTTCTCTTCCTGGCACAGG